GGTTAAAGCTTGTAGGAGGAGTTTTCTTTCTGCTCTAGGAGGATGCAAAACCCCTGACCTCTGTCTGGACAGTGCTGATTGGCTGTGTTCTGATCATGTGCACTCTCCCAAGAAGTAAAAAAAACTTCTTTAGCATACACACTAAACTGAGCATGTGCAGAAGGGCTACTGATTCGGTTTGTCTTATCATGTGGACACTTGAACAAGAGGAGGGGCAGAGAAAACAGGATCAAACAGCCTTTTTACACAATGCAGAGGATTAACCCCTTAGGTTTCCCAGTGAGTATAACAAACACGCATTGCTGCATATACAGACTGATTCTACTGTTGTGGGTTTAGTAGCACTTTTTAAGACAAAAAAACAGACTTACTTGTTGGACCATCAAATGAAAATAAAGGTAAGAAGGCCTAAAAAAAAGAAAACTAATCCATCCATCACATTTTAGAATTGATAATGTAATGTACAGTACTTGCCAATAAAGATGATTGGCAATATAATAAATGCTTGTCTTTGGGTTTAATACCACTTGAAATGTCGTTTTTTTTTTTTTTTTTTTAAAAATCATACTTACCTAGGTGGATGCTGTAATAGGTCCAAGGCTGCATCTGTACCCCTCCGACTGAGAACTGAGCGATCAAAGGCCACTGATCTTTCAGTTCTCAGTGAGCAAAGCTGGTGACTGTCAGTCGCCGCTCTCTGCTCTGCTCCCACCAGCTCTCACTGGAATGCTGGGCTGTGGAGGAGGAGAAAGCGGCTGGCTAAGGCTCTCAGCGGATCACTTGAAGGCTGAACCTGGTGCTGGTCCAAACACCTAGGTGGATCCTGACTTTAAAGTCAGGATCTTTCCCCAGCCTGGACCAGCTGAGTGACGTCAGCCAACAGCAGATTTCAGCCCGCTGTCAGCTGAAAACAGGTCTCAGGAGTGCAGAATGAACTGCTTTCCTGTGATCCACAGGAGAAGTACAACCAAAAAAAGCTTTATAGTGTATCTAAATCCAAAGGGTGTGCGACATGCGGTAAGGAGGCATTATGATACTTTTTGCAGTGCCATGATGCATAGTGTCATGCCGAAGGCATGTGTATAACCCTCTATTGTTGCTTTTTGCCACTCCCCATGAACACATGTAAACGAAGTCCAAAAACAAAAATGTTATATATTGCAGCTTACCAACTCTTAGGTGTGGTGACCATATTCGTTTTCTTTTTTAGGCTTCTTTCTTTTTTTCACCTGGTGATCCATCCAATAAGGGCTCGTTCATACCATGGTGCAGAGACATCCGTTTTTCTGCATGTGTTCTGTAAGGGCACAACAAAATCAATTGTTCTCTATGTGCCCTGTTCACACCACAATGCTAGCATCACATGCAGATTTTTTTTTCTGCACAGGAATCTGCAATGTGTATAAGCCTTGGTTTGCATATATGTGGTGCGGCATATCGCATGTGATTCGCACCAGAACCGCACCGCATTCCTGTGCAAATCACATGCGATTTGTATGCGGCACGATTGGAGTCATACATTTTGTATGGCTCTAATTGCACCGCACCTGCGCCAAAAACGTGCAGGACCCTTTTTCTGTTCCGCACTAGAATTGGATTGCATGGGTATTCACACCTATACAATCCGATTCTGCACATCGCATCGCGCTTTAGGCCGTTGTTGTCGTTAACATGCACACCCGCAGCGGTTCGCATTATTCTGATGCGGTGCGGAATTCTCACAGAAAACACTGCAAATTCTGCACCGCATCAGTGTGAACCAGGGCTAAAACTCATTGAAGCGTGAAAACTGATGTCTCCAATTGAATTCTGCGCACCAGTTTTCTTTAGTATTCATGCACAGATGCTGTGTGTTTCTTTCTGCAGGTGTAACTATATAAAGGCAACAGCAGCATTTCATATAGACCGTTTATATCTACAGCCCCATTCATACCTGAGAGTATCATAAATGCCTGCAGGAAAACATCTTACTGCACTCGTTTCTGATACGTGTCGGAAACGTGCTGCAACACATGTTTGGGGTGCCATTATAATTAATGATACCCAAACACGCTAAAAGAATGCATTTTTGCAATGCCTCAAAATGCGCTAAAATACTCAACCGAAAGACACGCCTAAGTAGCCTACAAAAAAAGGTGCATGAGTTACTTTGGTGCGATTTTGGGGTGTAGGGGCAGTCGATTTAAGTGAATAGGCTGTGCTACATTTTGTGCAAAAATGCACAAATGTGAGGCTCCAGTGTTGCTAGGTGTTAAGGGAGGACGTCCTGACGCAGACAGACAGAACTGGTAGACTTTGTCAGCATTCCAGCATTCATACTTGTGTTCCACTAATGATGATTGGTTGAGATAGCATGGTCCAAAGCCTGTAGCACTTTAGAAGCCCAGAGAACAAGAGCTGCTGGCCTACTTATAAAATTTTAAAAGTCCATCTCTTTATTCCTGGGCACTTTTCTTCCACCGCTCCATCATTTGACCCAACAAGAAACAAGGCGATCGTCTTCACATTATTTATTTCAGGTACTTGTATAGCACCATCAATACACAGCGCTTTACCTATATATTGTAAATTCACATCAGTCCCTAACCCTCAAGGGGCGTACAATCTAAAGTCCCTAACTCACATTCATGCATACACATACGCCATATATATATAGCGCCAACAGTTTGCGCAGCGCTTTAAAAATAAAGGTAGACATTACAGTTATAATACAATTTGGTACAAGAGGAAACAGAGGGTCCTGCTCATTAGCGCTTACATTCTAGGAGACAGGATCCAATTAACCTACCAGCATGTCTTTGGACTGTGGGAGGAAACCCACGCAGGCACAGGGAGAGCATGCAAACTCTAGGCAGGTGGTGCCATGGTTGGGATTTGAACCAACGACCCTAGTACTGCCAGGCTGAAATGCTAACCATTTAGCCAATATGCTGCCCTGTTTGTTTTATGTGGAAATCTGCACAGAAGTTCCACCAGATTGTAGATCCACATTGCATGGAATCGGGTGGACTGACCATTTGGGAACAAATTATAAATGCAGGATCAAGCACACATTATGGACTTTTAAGTTGTATTCAGTGTATTCACTATTGTTGCATAATCGCATGGTTTGGATGCTTTAATTCATATATGAGATTATAGAGATATATGCACGGCACTATTTAATGACAAAACAAAAAAACATAACAGGTTTAAAAAACTCTAGCAGCGTACACCAACTTTCCCATTATGGAGTAGTCTTTTTCTTAAAATAGAATTAAACCCAAGAACAAAAATGTAATATGTTTCAGTTTTGCAGTCCTGTGTTATGGTGGCTGCATTCATGGTTTTTTTTTTTTAATTTTATTTTCACCCTGCAATTTTGCCAGTAACATACCTTTTTGTTCTAGGGTGACAACACTCTCTCAATTTACTGCATTTATGAAAGGGCAGCAGTGTCACCCTAGGACAGGAAGTGCGTTTGGTCTCAAAATACCTCCCCTCTATCATCTGTATAATATAAGGGGAGGTGTTTTATAGTTTAAAGAGAAGGCTGGGAATGATGCTTACTTGCAAGAGTGCAGTAGAAATTTTTTGCACATATTGCTCAGATGTAACAAGATTCTTCACTGGCATATTTAACAAGCAACTATGAGAAGTTCCTTGTTTCCATTTATTTATTTCAGGTACTTATATAGCGCCGTCAATTTACGCAGCGCTTTACATATATATTGTACATTCACATCAGTCCCTAACCCTCAAGGGGCGTACAATCTAAGGTCCCTAACTTACATCTGTACATACACATACTAGGGCCAATTTAGACAGGATCCAATTCACCTACCAGCATGTCTTTGGAGTGTGGGAGGAAACCGGAGTACCCGGAGGAAACAAGTCCATCTCCCAAGAACTAGATTTGCCTTTGTCCACAGTGCGCACATTATCAAGAAGTTGTGCAACCCATGGCACTGTACTAATCTCCCTGGACCGTGGACGGATGAGAAAATTGATGAACAGATTGCAATGCAGAATAGCGGATGGTGGATTAAGCAGCCCCGATGCAGGCACAGGGAGAACATGCAAACTCTAGGCAGGTGGGATGCCTAGATTGGGCTGGGATTCGAACCAACAACCCTAGTACTACCAGGTGGAAGTGCTAACCATTTAGCCACTGTGCTGCCCATTTTGAGAAACAAACATGGAAAGTGCCTTTCCTGCGCCACATTCTGGTTTGAGGCGGCCCTCAATTAGACAGCGGCTCTTACCTAGTCTCTAACCTACATACCTGCAGGAAATCAATTTTCCTGGTGCCTCTGTGACAGCATAAGTCATGCCATGGATAGCCACCAAGAAAGGTCAAAAAATTACAGAAAGGTAAGTATTCAATTTTCCATTTTCCTCCTGCCTTCATGGCAGCATACATATTGCGTATGCTGCCATGGATAGATACCAGGAAAGGAAAAATATGAAAAGCTAAGTATTCAATTTTCCAAAATCGGTCTTCAGTGCAAGCACTGCTGCAGTGACCCTGTTCACACCTATGCAATTTAAAGCTTCTTCAGAAGAGCTCCAACACTTGACACTAGGATTTCCATTGTGCTGAATGGTGCCTGTTTATACTTCACTCTAAAATGTACAGTGGGGAAGAAACGCACATTTTGGACCCAACAGACTCTTTAGGAGTGCCTAAAAATGTGTGTAACGTGCATGTTTTATACTTTTTCCTGCCTAGTAACTAGCTTTCCATTGGATGAAAGTACTAAACGTGCTCAAGCCTGTAAAAATGCTAAAAAAATAAAAAATAAAAAAAACATTACCAAATAGGCTAACCTAAAAAAATCTGACTTTTTTTTTTTTTTTGCTACTTTTTATGCTGACTAGAATTTCTCCTCTAACCCTCAGGTATGTTTGCCAAATTTACTTGCAGTTATAATTTAACAGTCCTTGACCACATTGACCTTAGAGGAATGTGTGTCTGATGGGTCATGTTTACATCCTCTGACATTGATTGACCTCGCTAGATGTATGTCACAATTTCTACATATTGGTTCAAAACATCAGCTGCCTGTTGGACTTTTATCTCACTGAAGTATTCTGTTTATAGCAGCGGTGCGGAAAACCCATCTCCTAGTTTGGGGAAGAGATGGAAGGACACTGCAGAGACAGTAATCATTGGCGGTGGATGTGTAGGGGTGAGCTTGGCATATCACCTGGCCAAAGCGGGCATGAAAGATGTGGTCCTCCTGGAGAAATCAGAGCTCACAGCTGGATCTACTTGGCATGCGGTAAGTCAATATCTACAGATATACAACACATGAGACCTGTAGTCATGGACTCATGGGTTCTGGGGACCACCACCTATTAGGCTACATTTCGATAGGCAATTAGCACACACTACAACTTTCAGTGGCAGGCATCTACAAATTCTTTCATCTGGAGTGACAGGTGTGCGCAAATAGGAGCTGCAATGGCAGGCTGATGGCTGCTGCAGCTATTTATTACTGTTCGCACAGCCAGCGCATACATGCAGTGATCCTGCCTGGACGCATTGTGTGCATGCAGCCAAAATCACTGCAGTTAATTGCTGGCTGTGCGAAGAGTCAGGAATAGCTGCGTCCACCTTTTATTGTTTTATATGGTCACAGAACATCACAGCTCCTTATTTCCATCTGCCTCCAGAAGGGGGCAGGCCCTGAATGTTCCAGAGGATTGTCCTGTAATCCCTGGTCAGCTTGTTAATATACTTCAAGGAGGTCGGTCCATGACAGCCTGGGCACACAGGAGTGCTGTTGTAATTCATTCAGTCCTAGACCTCAGAGCGGCAAGTCTTTGGGACAGTGTCACAGGGGAGGTCATGCAGCAATACCTGCTTTTCTATTTTTTGACATGCGGAATTTTCTATTTTGTAGAAGGTGAAGTTTTTTATTTTTTTATAAAAAGATAAACTAGTTTTGTGTTTTACAATATTCAGTCAAGACACATTTAGTGTGTGTGTATATGTATATATATATATATATGTATGTGTGTGTGTAACAGTTCTTATTTCTTTTGCAGATGTTAACGTAATTAAACTTTATAAATCCAATTTTCACAGGCTGGTTTAACTGCATATTTCCACCCTGGGATTAACCTAAAGAAGATCCATTATTACAGTATTAAGCTTTATGAGGACTTGGAAGAGGAGACAGGTCAGGTATGTCCAGGGGTGCAGCTCAAATGCTTTGTATATCATTAATCTATACCCAGGTCACTTATTGAGCACATTTACATCATCTCTGCCCATACATGTACAAAACACACACACATAGGCACCTTTTCTACAAACCTCAGAGACCCCATCAGTGCACTCATTTTGTTAGTAAGAAGAAATGAAAGGGCTGCAATACTTAGGGGGACAAATGCAGGATTCACACATTTAATTGGAAAATTGTGTGAATGCTATGTGAAAAGACTTAAACCCCCAGAGTAGGAAATGCTATTCCAGGTCTCTCTCATCTGCCAGATTGGTATTAAATTATGCTTCTTTCATTGGCATCTTCTTGTAGCATCATCCACCCTGGTGTCTGATATTTTCCATTGACATCGGAGGGTCTTGTGGCAAATTGAAGGACAAAGGGATCTACTCTAATGATGCAGGGCATTGGAACAGAGAACAGGGCTCCTTTCTTGTCTTTTCTTTTTCCAGCAAAATACTTTATTATTTTTCTTTAATGCATGATGCAGCCCGTTAAGCTGTGATGTGGTGCAGCATGTTCCATCTTTACCCAATGCTTACCAACAGAGCAGGTTGATATGAACTGGGCCTACTGGAAACAATAGCATTTGGTTTTCCATTACGTTGGGCCAGAACTGAGCAAAGCTACCTAATGCACGTGGTGTAAATGGGCCCTCATAGCTATCTGTTTTCCATTAAAGCTCAGTTGCAGTCACAGAATTATATAGTCAGATATGAATTCATATAGACATTGTATCAAACAACCTAAATACCCTTACCCCTGGTTCACATATCTGCGGTCCATGTTTTGCACGAGAGCCCAATCATTTGGACTCCCGTGACACGCAGGGAAGAAGTCCCTGCACTTCTGAAAACCTAGCCCGCACGACAACTTTGTTTTCCAGTGTGGGCGGCGTGCCATTAGAACTAATGGCACCCGCCCGCAGGTCCGCATTCCTCTGTGCGGGTGGATTTTCATGCAGATCCGCAGCCACACCACCCGCACGTATGTAAACCTAGCTTTAGTCTTCACGCCTCTGTTACAGTAATTGTGTCAAAATATAATTTGCTGTTAAAAAGGCATCAGAGTTAGACCCACTATATTCTATAATGTAACAGACCGGTGGATGCTGCATCTGTCCCCTCTGGCTCCAAGTGTGAGAATTCTGCGATCACATGTTCGCTGAGTTCTCCTTTCCTCTCCCGCAGAGAGCGGGACTGTCAGTTACTGCTGTCCACTCAGCCCCCCCAGCGCTCACTGGAGCTGTGGAGGGGGAGGGAACGCTGGCTCAGGCTCTCAGCGGATCGCTGAGAGGCTGAGTCAGGTGCCGCTGCAGACTCTGGGGTGGATCCCGACTTTGAAGTTGTGATCTTTCCCCAGCCTGGACCGGCTGATTGATGCCAGCTGACAGCTGACTTCAGCCTACTGTCAGCTAAAAATGAACTGCAGTCCTGTGATCCACAGGAAAATTACAGCCAAAAAAGCTTTAAAGTAAAGTTCATTAAACTGTTCCAAAGACTGGTCTGAGGTTACTTTAACCCCTTGACGCCGAACGCACGCAAATATGCGGCCTCTCGGCGTCTGGGCTTTGATGCTGAGCGCCCTCATATTTGCATGTTATTAAAAAATACATATGTGCTGAGAGTGTGCGCTTCCAGCACATATGTCCATGACTCATGGAAAGGTCCCGATCTCCCCTTGCGATCGGGACCTTTTCCGATCATGTGACAGCAAATCACGGTGGTCACATGACCCTAAAACCCCACCAGTCTCCCAGCTTCTGAAACTCTTAAAGGGCCGGGAGGCACCGACGTGAGGTGGTTAAAGGGGTGCATGATGGTTTCTGGCATATGAAAGAACCGGGCCAGCAAAGCACATATGGAATCACTATAAAGGGTTCGCACAAGGTGTGGAGGAAGAGAACAGTTGCTACGTATAACCAAAGACTAGTGGAGCAGCCTGTCATGAAGCCTGGTACCTGGTGTGGCAGGCATTTTTCAATGTTTGGATGATTCTCACTCAGGAAGTGAAATCTCTCCAAAACAGGTGATAGGAGTCCACCTGACAGACGTTTTAGGCCTTCCTCACAATACTGAACAAAGAATAAACGATTTGGCTGTTGTTGAGTTTTAAAACGTTGCCTTTGGAATATTTTTGTAAATGCTCTGCTATTCAGTAAATCCTATAACACTATCCCAAATATTCTTTCACATACTTTCCCATATTTCTTGGGAACTCCAGTGGTGAGATCTCTGTATTTGAGTTCCTAGGTATGCACAATGCCTACCACCACTGTTATGGATTCCCACTCTCCTTGTTGGGTTTTTAATTTAGTTTATTTCCTGGAAATGCAGTAAGAGGCTGGCTGGAACACCAATAGCCCAAAGTGTTTAGAAGCACAGCCAGAAGGTATTGCAGGAAGGTCTTGATGCTGGATCTCCATAGGATATAACAGGACAGTAAGTGACTCTGTTCACCAGACATCAGTTTTAAATGAACTAATACATTTGGGTGGACTGACCCTTTAAATCTTGAAACTTTAGCCAGTTGTTACCCCTGCCAGCAGTGATAATCATTATTCTACTGATGTCTTATGCAGGCTGTTGGGTTTCACCAGCCAGGAAGTATCCGAATAGCCTCAACTCCAGCACGAGTGGATGAATTCAAATACCAGATGACCCGTGCTCGCTGGCATCCAAATCCACAATATCTCATTGGGCCAGAAAAAGTTGAAGAACTATTTCCATTACTGAATATGGACAAGGTAACACAACTTTGCTATATCACTGATGTGTCCAGCCCTGGTTTAATTGGTGTTTTAGTGAAGGTAATAAAATAAGAGAACAATACATTTCACAATCTTCTGGAATTTAACAAAACCTGTTGTGATTAGCCAGACGTGCAACAAATAACCAGAGTATTCTAGTGTAAAATTTAAACTGGGACCCTCCAATATCTTGTATAAATTCCTCCACAGTTTATTTCTTAACAACTTTGAATATTTTTCCCTAAAAGTGAGAAAATTATTCAACCAGAAAATAACAGGTGGTGAATACTTAGCTTAAAATAAAGGTACACACAGGTGACAAGTACAAGTGCACAGAGAAGGTGAGGACAGGGACCTTAATAACTGCGCCAGATTACTACTGTTACTTTAATTTAGTGCAAGAAAAGAATCAGTTTAAAGTTAATTTTGAGTCTGGCAGAAATCCTACAGTATGGGAGAAGCAGCAGCAAATGCAGTCTGGGAAATTACTGATAATCTAATACAATGTACTTCTCTTGTACACAGTTTTTTCTTTCTCAGAAAATAGATGCAGGAAATCAACCATGACCCCCAGAACTCCCCCCCCCCCCCCCCCCCCCACATGCACACCCCCATTCTCCTAACTGCATAAAATGGTGGGTGTGCTCAAATTTCACTAACAGTGGTAGGGTCTCAAAGGGGTATTAAATACCAGGAGTGCATTACATACATAGTGAAGAATTTTTATTGGGGGGTACACATTGAGTGCAGAGTTCAAGGGTGCTCTACGCGCAAAGTTTGGGGGTGAAATATGTACATAGTGCAGTTCAGGGGTGTGCTGCATACAGAGTGCAGAGTTCAGGGGTGCGCTACACACAGTACAAAGTTCTTCCACAGTTGCTTATCTCCTGCATCCACATCTCACTTTCACCCCTCTTCACCTCTGACTTTTGCATGCAAACCCCAATCCCGCCCCCTCACTGCCCCCCCATCTCCCCCCCTTCCCTCCTTTCTAGTGGGGGTGTCCGCATTCATACTGCAACCCAGACACCTGCATCTCCCTTGTCCCCATCCTGCACTCAGTGGAAGTTGCTTAGGATATTAGATCTGTGGGAGCCATTAGGAGACAAGCTGCCACTTGTAAACGCAGAAGCCAGAAGTTTATGTTTACAAGTGATAGTGGTGAGCATGGAGCAGAGGAGCTGAGCCAGAGGTAGTTGAACTGAGTTCCACCAAGTTCGCACTGAAAAAAAGCCCTGCATGTACATTATCCTGGGCACTTTTAGTGGATATGGGTTAACTGAAAAAGTCCAAGACAAGAGGCTAAAATATGAAAATAAGGTAGAAGCCAGTTTGCCATTTTGGATAAACTGAAATAAAGGAGGCAATGCCCTACTGTTAATGACTGAAATACAATAAGGTTTTTTGTTATGTAAGTACTGAAAAATGCTTGCAAAGCAACCCATTGTTTTTCTTTACTATTGCTTTTTGGTTTAAGAATGTTTACAAAGCATTATTTAGTGCTTCCGTATACAGACACCAATTTCTTATACTGTAGGTCCTAGCTGGCCTCTATAACCCTGGAGATGGTCATATTGACCCCTATTCCCTCACTATGGCCTTTGCAGCTGGAGCCAGGAAGTATGGTGCCCAGTTATACTTCCCAGCACAAGTGACTGCTTTAACACCTCGACCTGATGGTACATGGAATGTGGGAACACCTCATGGAACAATTCATGCCAAAAGGATTGTGAATGCAACAGGTAAACCATATTTATGCCCTTTTATATCTAAGCTGTTAAAATTCAAGAATAATTTCTTTAAAAAATACTTTGAAATGTCCAAGCTAAAAATGTTCTCTTTCAAATGTATATTCTGTCCCCAACATTTAAAATAAGCTCCCTATACCAGTAGTGATATTTTAATTATAGGTGGGGCATGGTGGGCTGGGCCAAGCCCTTGCCTTCTTATATATTTGAGATATTCCAACAATGAGAGCTTCCTGCCATAATTCCAGATTCTGATCCTGTCCACTTAAGACTTCTAGGTTTTCACATTTCTGCATGTTCCAGCTCATCCTTTTTTATTTTCTCTAATATAAAAAATAAAGCTTACAGGAATTGTAAGACCCCTCATAATGGCTGCAGCAACTTTTCACAACCTAGGAACACAAGAACAGATATTTCACCAGTGGAGTCCCCAAGATATAAGAAACTGTCAGGTAGTATAGCTCTTCAACATTTACCAAAAGCCTAAATACCAGCTTGGGGTCGACTGAAGGCAACAGCACAGCTCAGATATACAAGAAAATATTAACTAGCTGCACGTTGGTCTGATGGTGTTGAGTATCTCCTATACTACTCAGCTGCTAGTAGAAATGTTAGGGCAACAGTTGCTGTGCTAGTATTTCACACCTGTCCTTTCCCTTTGCCACAAGTTGGAAACTACAGTAAAATGTTAGCATCTTTCAGTAATGGTTGTGCAGAATGTGAACTCTCCTACAAGATCTAGACAGGTATGGCTAGCCTTTTATAAGCATGGGTAGACTCTTGCTCTTATTTGGAGAAAGAAAGATTAGTAGATATGCAACCCAGAAGTCTGAGAAATGTGAGCTTAGAAGGACAGAGGTAGACCAAATACTTTTTTTGGATTGTAGAGAACACTTGCAATAAACTTTGTGTGAAAGACCAGTTTTTGGGCCCCCTGATTCAACTACTGTCCAAGTAGAAACATTTATTTACTGTGGATAGACACAAAAATGAAGACTGCTTTTTGTGATCATGTAAAACTTTCTCATCACTCAGAATGTGCAAATGGAGTCAGAGATCTCTTCTGGTCCAAATAGTGTCAGGAGAAAGGGGGAGAAGCATTTTCTATGTCTCATTGTTGGTCAGGCTGAAAGTGAAGGAGGAGCTTACTGCCTGACTCCACTGGGATACTACAAACTAGGAGAATGGTTAAGGCCTTATATTGCCTTCTGCTTTTCATCTGCAGAAGTGAACAGTGTGCAGACTACATGATAGTGAGAGGGGGTCCCAGCATCTGTCCAACCTACATATATCCTATATGGGTATCTTAAGTCCAACAGAACCCTTGTGCAGCCACCCAGCCTGCATAAATTGTATGTCTGCCACTGAGTTGGTAGATGGAGAATCCAAGGTAGCATACGGACTATAAATATATCTATTTTTTGCAGTAAACTGTGGAGATCCTTCTTACACCGCTCTCATATGCAAATGGTCATTCTGTACAATAATTCTCTTTCCAATGTTGAAATAACAAGTGTTGAACTTACAATCATACATTAGTATTAGTCCTCCTCAAACTTTTTAGGCTTGAAGAATCCTTGAAATAATTTTCAGATCTCAATGAACCGCTGCTTCAAGCTATACAGTATCTACAGCTCATGATACAATAGTAAGATCAAAAAGTTATATATACTCAGTGGGAGATAGTGCCCATCACTTTGGCAGATCGTGAAAAGTGTTTTTTTTTTTTTTTTTTTGTTCTTTAGAAGTTTTTATTAGGACTGTAAAGAAGAAGGGCATCCTTGCAATATAGTCAGTGAGAGAGGTGCTTTCTTACATTGGGAGCCAATGAAAAGCATGCTTAAAAGATCATTAGATGTCATGTCATTGGCTTTGCCACGTGGTGTTGGTCAAAGTGCCACAGCACAAGGAACCCCTAGCATCCTCTGGAGGAACCCTGGTTGAGAATGGCTGGGATAAGAACTTGAGGACCTCAGTTTAGCAGTACAGTCTGCTAAGTTCTTATGGAGTATGTGGCTCTAGTATAATTAATGCTTATTTTTTAGCCACCTCATTAAGTCATAATATTATTTGTGATACCTATTTATGTACTGAAATGTATTTAGTTCCTGTAAATTCAAGTGCTTTGTCTTAGAAATCGCTTGAAGTTTCCCCTAGTGATAGACCATGCAGCACACCACGGTAACCATTGAGTGCAGAACACCTTGTGAGTAAAGGTGACCATATATTATGCAATCTGAGCGAGCCACCACCACACCTTCATCTCTGACCCAGAGCACCTTACATGTACCAACCATGGAGTGGTTGTTGCTGTCAGGAATGGACTCACCACTGGTGGTGCTGCTGTGGCTCACTTGCTCTGTGGGCTGCAGTACCAGCTCCTACCAGAGGGTGCTTTCAGCAGCCAGGGTCTCACTCCTGCAATCAAGCCATCACCTGAGGCTGATTGCAGGAGGTCTATTTAAGCAGGACCAGGCCTGCAATCAGTGCCTTGGTGTTTGTTTCCCATGAGCCCCTGTACCTGGTATCCTGTGAATCTTCTATTGCCGACCTCTGCATTATTCCTGACCCTGCTGACTGTCTCCTGTTTAACCCCTGGCTTGCCTGACCATCCTTCTGCCTGATCCTCTGTACTGTGCTGCCCGTGAGTTACTGAACCCGGCTTGTGACCCTGACCATTCTCTGCCTGCTCCTCCGGTACCTCGCTGCCCACACGTTGCTGGCCTGGCCTGCCTGACTACGCCTTACGCTACCCAGACGATCCATCCCGCACGGATCTGTCCCTGTTACCAGGTCTGCCAGCCTCTTCACGTCAGGCTCCTTTCCCCGCACACCTCTGACGACGCTCTCTACCATTGCCGGACGTACTCAGGGGTCGCGACCTGGTCTCAGTCTGCTCCAAGTCCATCCCCACTATCAGGGGCCCTGGTGAATAAGCAGATTGGGACTTAGACCCCACGCCCTGAGGAACCCCGTGCTGTGGGCTGCTAGAGACGCTTAACAGTACCAAATGGCCTGCCTGACCATTCCACCTCTCCAGCCCTGACTACACCTGTGTTCCCACACATTTCTGGTCATACCCGGATCCCTGACAGTTGCTGGATGGGTAGAGCATGGGCAGTGTGTTTTCCTAAATCTCTCCCACAAACTAGTGGCTGCATTACCACTATAGTCAGATGACACACTGGGACCTGACTTTTCTTTCTTTACTGCAGAGTAAAAGTAACCTTCTTTGAGCATCCATGTCCCTTCTTGGTGGCATGGACACTTCCTATTGGATTAAAGAAGAGTTCCCCTGCAAATATTACATGGCTTTGCAATGAGGGGCATCAAAAGAACAGTTGGTGGCAGGCCAAACTGCAGCAGTGGACCACCAATTGGCGCTGTTGTTAGAGGGCCCACAGAGGGTTACATGACGCTAGACTCAGGTGATTACAAAAAATATATTAGAGGGTTTTTAAAAATATTTTTATTTTTTAAATTGTGAATGAGTAAAAGTGGAGTGAGTAAGAGATTGCAAGGGGTACATCTGTGTGTGTGTGTGTGTGTGTGTGTGTGTGTGTGTGTGTGTGTGTGTGTTCTCCTGGAACACCAAAAATATATTAACAGCAAAGTATTTGCAAAATTATTATGATAGTGGCCAGCAAAGAATATAATAAAGATGCATATTTACTTGATATCACTTCTAACCAAAGCTAATAATCATTTCTTCAAGGAGTAAATAGTTAAAGCTGCCATTGCTGACCTCTTTTTGAAACCTCGAGTTGCATTGCTCTGGCTTTAAAACGTATTGGTTGCTGACACCAGAGTCAAAGTGAAGTCACAACTCCTAACCTGCATAGTTGCTCCATGTCTATATTGAGACCATTAGATAACCATGACAGCCAGGCAGCTAGCAATTTCTGAAGGAGAAGTCAGCCAGTCTAGTCTCTGTTTACATTTCTTTTCAGAACTGCTTCTTACTGTTTAATGTGCGCATCCTGATAGAGAAATGAGAAACATTCTACACTGGAATGGGGTTATCTGATACGCAGATGGATATCATAATCCCCACAGTGTATAACCTGATTCTGGGAACATCCTTAGAAAGGTATCGGTGTCTTTATTGCAGCTTTTACATGCAGATAAAATCCACAGAGTCACTTTTAGATTTGACTGAAAACAACATCTGCTTCTCACAAGAAAAGCATGAAGACAGTTCAGCTAAAATCTCTGAGCTTTCCACATTCCTCACAAAACAGACAATTGCATACTCCCTGCCAAGTCAACATTTCTGTGTAACCAAAGGGAGGGTTCCAAAAAATGTGTGTGTTTTTGAGGTCCCAGTTCTCAAACAGCCTTCTGTGGTGCATGCACTAAGTTGAACACTATGTGCGAGAGTGAGATTAAATAACAGCTGTGTCTGGCAGGACATTTACTTTTATTACTTATTAAACTCAGTCATGGTCAGGGTATTGTGACTACAAATATGTATGACCAAAGCAGCCTCTGTTTTATCCTATCATATGTACAAGGTCTGTGTTTGTTCTCCCCCACCCCAATGGTCCTCTTCCTGCACTCCCAATATATTAAAAAATGACACCATGCTCACCTTTAAAGTGTAAACCCTAAGGGCCTGTCTCTACTGCCAGCAAATGTCAGTTTATGTGCAAATTTTCTGCCCCTAAAACTCTCAAAAAGTGCCTTGTACAAGCACAGCAATGCACAGTACCCATGAAAGTTGCAGCGCTGCAGCATATTATTATTATTATTATTATTATTATTATTATTATTATAATACAGGATTTAGTGCCAACAGTTTGCTCAGCGCTTTACAACATAACGGGAGACAATGCAGCAACGATACAGTACAATACAAGAGGGTTAGGAGGGCCCTGCTCCTTGGAGTTTACAATCTAAGAGGGAGGGGCTGGTGGTACAAAAGGTAATCACTGTGGGGGATGGACTGATAGGAGGAATAGAAGATTGCATTATTAGCTGAAGGCAGGATAGGCTTCCCTGAAGAGAGAGGTTTTCAGAGATCGCCTAAAAGTGGGCAGAGTAGGCGATAGTCTGATAGATTGGGGTAGAGAGTTCCAGAGGATGGGGGAGGCTCTAGAGATAAGCATGGGAGGAGGAGACAAGGGAGCTAGAGAGCAAGTGGTTGTGGGAGGAGCAGAGAGGAAGGTTTGGGTGAATTTTGGAGACAAGTTTGGTGACGTAATTTGGGCCAGAGTTTTAAATGGTTTCATATGTTCTTTGTTAATGTTTTGAATTTTCTTTGTTGGGCAATGGGAAGCCAGTGGAGGGATTGGCAGAGAGGGATGGCAGATATGGAAAGGTTAGTAAGGTGGATGAGTCTGGGAGCAGCATTCACGATAGACATATTAAACAGTTTTTTTTGTTTTTTTTTTAAGGATACAGCATTTTACATATTAGTTATGTGTAATGGTGTGTATCTTATTACCTGCAGGCATTTGCCTCTGCTAAAAAATTCTCCTTGTAATGCCTCCTCACAGCTGCATCACACTACCCCGTGCGGCCATCTTTTGGTGCTGTGAAGGTTAACAGCAGTCACTGCGACTGAGAAAAGCTGCGCCAATTGTCTACTCCATTCTGCCCTATTTTCCATTGACAGAACTCTTTATTAACATACTCCCACAATGCTTTGGGTTCTATAAATGAAGAAGAAGAAGCAGCTGAATGATAGAATCTTCACCACCCATTTTAAAGAAATGCATTGTGGGAACTTAAAAGTATGAGTTCTGTAAATGGGGAAAAAAGTGCAGAAGGGGGCAGGTGAGTGGCACAACCTTTCTCAGTATCAGCGGCTGCTGGTAACCTTCACAGATGGAAGCTCAGGACAGCCTCCCAGTGTCTCCTTGCAGCCACTGGATAAACAGAAGCAACCACCTACAGGTAATGGGATGAACACCCTTATGCAGTACTGTATGGTGTGCATGGTGCTGTATGGCAATAAAGAAAAAATCCCCTAGACTTTAAAAGGGCAACATGGGGCAACATTCCAACTTGCCAACTGCGGGCAGTCATGCATTTTCAAAAACCACTTGCCAACAGTTGGAACATATGCAGTGCATTTTTAAATAGATTTCTAAGCCATAAGGCCTCGTTCAGATTGGCATACTACAGCATACACCTGTGTGATTGCTGTATTTACCCGCACAGGGATGCACAGCTGTCTGTTCATCCTTGTTCAGGCAGTCCCATTGATGTGTATTGGGATGCAGAAATTGTATAGATACAGCTCTGAATGCAGACATTGTGCGTTTGGGGCTGTGAACCTGCACCCGCATGGATGTCAATTTGGGAGCAGCGGATGTGTCCATGCAACCTCTGCGTCCCAATAGACATCAGTGGGACTGCCCTCGCACGGCTGAGTGCTGTACTATGCCCTTATGATGAGGCCTTACAATGAACGTCTCTAATTTGATCCTTTTTGGTCTGTTAGATGTACAATAGAATTGAAAGTGTGTTTAAAAAAAACAAAACAAAAAAACCTTGCAGTCAGGTAACCTTTCAAGGTCCTGTGCACGTTGCGGTGTTAAGTGATGTCATCGGCCCTGCCTAGTTTTTCTCTGTGAACAACCGAAAACCTCTCCCGTACATTAAGGAGAGGCAAGGGGTGGTGTTTGTAGTCCTGTCCTAGAGGGTCAATGCTGCTCCTGCCATAGATACAGTAGAGTGACTGAGCGTTTTCACCATAGGACCAAACTTGTGTTACTGGCAGGATCACCAGGTAAATGTTAAAGAGAAAAAAGCCAGAAAAACTTGCAAAAATACATTAAATGCACATGTAATCTTATTTGAAGATATATATATATATATTTTTTTATAAATGATATGGCAACAAGGTCTCATTAATTCCTACTACTGTGTGCTGTTTGTGTAATTTACACAATAGGGAACCAATGACCTACTATCATGTAGTAGGTTGCACTACCCTTACTATAGGCTTTTTAGGGGACAGTACCAACATCTGGTATGTTTACATTGGTTGTGAGTTAACCATGAACAATAAACATTACCTTATGAGTAGTGATATTTGGTCAGTAAATTAGCTTGGCAGAAACTTCAGAGAAACTTTCCATAGCATGTTAATTATTAAATGACACTATAGACATTAACACAAGGTGGACTCTGGGATAAGCAAATATTGCCTAAATATGAGAGCCATGTGTATTGTTACTTGAATCTTGGTATGTTTTGTGCATTTCTTCCAGATCTGTGCAGTAATTCAGTGTGAACATTTGCCTCCGTGCAGGAGCTTGCGGTAATAAAGACCGGTTATAGCTGCCCTCTCTCCTGAAGGGTGACTGGTCTTGTCTCCGCCCTTCCAGTAGTTTACTGCAGGCAGGCTAAAGTAGGTGGAGTCTGTTGGGTCACTTTCTGCACAGGCTGTAGTGCCCAGTGATGATGTCACTGCTGCTTTTTCAAGGTAATATCTGTGTTTGTACAAGTATTTGGTACACACAGTTGATTTATTTCCTTGTGGCTATGGAAGAGTATATTTACTGTATATGAAAAGTTTTGTGCCTGGAGTTCATTAATGTTTGTGTGTATGTACATGTAGCCCATATTCCCTATTTTCTGCATACTCCGTGATCCTGAACAAACCACTGTCCTACATTTCAAGAAAGTCTTCGTCCCTCTGGGAGGATGCCATATGTACATGGCCGATGAAAGATCTGTGTACCGGCCCCGTTGCCAGTCACATGACAGTTGTATACAATGGATGGCTTCCTTTCATGCCATTCATTGTATACAAGTGTGTCTAGCTGTGAATGGTCACAGCGATAACATGCATAGCCTAAGCCAATCACAGCCCATCTGTCATGTGATTAGCCGTGGCCAATCAAAGCTAATCACAAAACCTGAATTAGTCGATTTCATTCAGCTAAATGCTTGCTTATAGCAAAGAAATTGTTTGCTATAATCCATCAAATTGTGTTTAAAAAAAAAAAAAAAAAAACATTACTTCCCCGTAGTATAATGTTACTATGGTAACATTATACTACTTTGGTCATAGTGCAATATAAAAAAAAAATCTTAAAAGAGAAAAAATTTAATAAATAATAATAAAAAAAAGTTAAACAAATGTGTTTTTTTTTTTATTTTTTTTTATTTCATAATTTTTCCGAAAAATTATGACAAAATTGCAACTTCAAAAACTTGCCATGCCTCTGATGAAATACGTTGGACTGTCTACTTTGCAAAAAGGGGTCATTTGGGGGATATCTGTACTGTTCTGACATTTTTGGGCTTCAAGAAATTAGATGGGCCATCAGTACTTAAGGATTGGTCAATTTTCAGATATATCCCATAGTTTTTGAACTCTAACTTTCCTACAGACTAAATAAATACTGATTTGGGTTATTTTCACCAAAGAAATGTAGCAGAATACATCTCGGCCTAAAGTTATGAAGAACAATTATTTGCAAACTTTTATAACAGAAACAAAGAAAAATGTGGTTTTTTTTTTTTTTTTAATTTTCGGTCTTTTTTTGTAAATTTAGCAAAAAATAAAACCCCAGTGGTGATTAAATGCCACCAAAAGAAAGCTCTAGTTGTGTGAACAAAATGTTAAAATTTTAGTTTGGGTACAGTGTTGCATGACTGCCTGGGCAGGAAGGGGGTAAAAGTGCCTGGTATGGAAGTGGTTAAAAAAAAACAAAATTGCCTTCACAATCGCTTGAACTCCAAATACCTAAAACCCATGTTTTTCTGCCAAAGGATTCGTATTTCTGTCCAATCACTCCTATGATTTACCCATCCGTTCAGATAGCACAGCCAGATTGTAGAACTAGACTAGACCTAGTTCCTCCTCTCACCCACATGAAGGAACAGCAGCAGTTCATGACTCTGCTCACTTTATTTTTTTTCTCCTGTTAGCCTGTTTCTTGTCAGCACATAAAAATGCAGCATGCTGGATTTGCTTTTATTACTATCCTTCCTTCTCTCGAGTCTAAGGGGTATATTTATAAAACATTTGTCAAGCTATCCATCCTCTGAAGCTGTGAATGGGGGCAAAATGTAATGTTTGTAGGCTATTTTCTGTTCAGGTCAAATGTTCTCTTTAGTGTGAATCAGGAAAATACTGCATTATGGCCACTAGATGGAGCTGAAAATTATAGTAAATAAGTGTTTCCTATACTCATCAGCTCCATTTAGTATATTCCAATAGCCATTTGCGCAATCAAGGATTATGTGTCTACTTATATACCTGGTCTATTGCTGCTGCTTGCACCTCCAAGTGTACCACACACCTATTCGCACAACTTAGGAAATATAAAGTGCAGCTCAGTTTGCATGTGTACAAATAAATATCCCCAATGCTAATTGTCCATCAAACAAGAATAAAATTGTCCGGCATGTTGTAAAATGTCTGCTCAATTCAAAACAATACCAATAAACAACTCAAACGAACAATATTGTTAATGTGAGGTCACCACGTGTGTAGATGTTAAAAAGGTCCCACACAATAGATAGCTCTTAACTCCCCTTAAAGTGTTACTAAGCCCACAACAGTAAAATCAGTCTGTATATGTAGTAAAGTATGCTTGGTATACTCACTGTGGAACCTAAGGGGTTAATCGTTCACATTGTGTAAAACGACTCTTTTGATCCTGTCTTCTCTGATCCTCCCCTTCTTCCACTGTCCCCTGTCCCCAGTCCATTCGCTAATAGTACAGAGCAGCAGTGGCAAGTTTGTACATGCTCTGGTCTATATTGAGAGTTTTTTGGGGAGGTTGCATGTGATCGGCACAGGGCCAATCACCGCTGTCCAGACAGAGGGTCAGGTTCACGCAGCCTCGTAGAACAGTCAGAGAATGAAAGCTCCTCCTACAAGATTAACCAGTGCCGGACATTGATAGAAGTCACAAGACATCTCTAACTGCTGATGAGAAAAGGTATTTAGCAGTTTATATTTACTAAACAAATGTAATTTTCATGTTCTGTATACTGTGGAAGGTTGGATATAGTGAAGGCAGGGTCTTTAGTAACACTTTAAAAGTCTGTCTTCTGCTCCACAGCACATGTAAGAATCCTTGTGGAGAACAAAACAACACATATTAAAGACTAAGTTCACCTTTTTCAGGCAGAATTTTACTTTTCATAATAAATAGAAGCCTTTTCTAGTGTCTTTTCTACCCAAGCCATACCAGTGTACTTATCTCTTACTTTCCAAGTCCATGGCAGCTTTGAATCTTCACCTCTCTGTTCAAAATTAAAAAGAATGCATCTGATCCCATCACTTCTTGTATCATCATGGACTATATAATAGGATACACTTCTCCCTTTGTTCTGTACTACAGCTCTGCTTCACATACGGTAGGCATTATGTGATCATTCAGCTCCTGACACTGCCAAATAAGTGATCTATGCATGAAAATGATCTGTCAGCAGAGGAAGACACTGCCTATGTATTCAGGGAGAACAGTGCTCAATGATAATGATTGCATGTAAAAATAGAGATGGGTAGGAGCAATCTCCTGGAGGGGGAGGGCAGGTGCAGAATGTGTGTGAATGTGGTCAGCTGCTGAGCTACTTCCTTAGTCCCAAATACCAGGACATATACCAGGATTTACTGGAGGAGTTTTCTATGAGTCACTGGAAGCTAGGCCTGTCCTATAATTTAGGGAAAGATCTTTCTTTTCTGCAACAGAGGTATGTCACTGGTATAATGGTACATAGGGAATGTCACGTACCTGGTGGAGATAAAGCTGGAGAGGGGGTTTTTCTTGTACCTCTTGTCCAACACCCCTGGTAGTAATGACAGGGAGTGTGGGGCACAAAGTGGCATGAGGGCTGGTGTAGCAGGTTAGCCAGCTGGGGTTTGCAGGAAGCAGATGACCGTAGATCACCAGGTGAGGAGCCAGGAAATGGAACACGGTGATACTTGCTTGGCAAACAGGAGTGTATCCAGGACACAACCCAAAAGGTCATCAACAGATGGGCAGCGAGGTACAGGAACATCAGACGGAGTCAGGATACGAGCCAGGATCTGTACACAGCCAGGCAGCGAGGTACAGGAATGGAAGACAGTAGCAGAGTGAGAATACAAGCCAAGGTCACAGTAGGCAGAGAGAATTCCAAGGACAGGTCAGGGACAAGTCCAGTCTTGCACAGGAAAGCAGGTATATAGTAGGTCAAGGTTCAGGTAAAGCAGGAATTGGCTGAAGACCACTCAGTAATCCATCCATGTCAGAGTGCAGCTTGAATAGGCCGTTTGGCGCCAGTGCTCATGCGTGTGGCGCCGGGTGCTCATGCATGTGGCACCAGTGCTCATATGGTTTCTGCACACTCTAATATGTTTGTGAAAGTGTGACAATATCTGTTTTGTATTGAGCTTTTTCTCAGAATTATGAGCATTCACATAAGTATGAGCATGTGACAACCTTCTTCTTCCAACATGTACTGAGGTTGTCTTACAGGGACGTTGGAACTTAGAAGCAAAAAAGTGAACTTAGCCTTTAAGTTGAAAAGTGTGAGAGGAGGCAGCACTGAGTGGTACATCTGTAACTTTTGAGTGAGTTGTTTATTTAAGGGAGGTAGAAGGTGAGGTACAAATGATTTTAGCGAATGCTCAAAAGAAATTTCCAAAGTCTTCATGAAGATATGGTGATAGAATTTTGTTGAAAGCCTTTTCCCATCAAGATTCAGAAGAAAGTGATTTCTATAGTGAGAAAGTGTAGTGACCACTATAGCCATTCATGCCCAGATCGAAATATGTCTGTTTCTGGCAAAGCCAAGTTGCTGATAATGGCCTTATTTATTTATTTAACATATGGTATATATATATATTTATATATATAGCACCATCAATTTACGCAGTGCTTTACATATATTGTACATTCACATCAGTCCCTATCCTCAAGGGGCGTACAATCTAAGGTCCCTAACTTATATTCATACATACACACAGGGCTTTTTTTCTGAGATAATAGGTGCAGAAACTCGCACATCCAACTTCTGAGCCACCTCTTGTCTCTGCCCCTACCCACAGAGGACCGTTTCTAGGTTCCACCCCCTACCCACCTGCCAGTACTGCCCCATTTAGAGAATATAGAACCAAGTATCATTTGTGGTGCTAAGTAAGTTGTATGGAAATTAATGATAACAATAAAAACCGTAAAATAGATCCCCCCCCCCCCCCCCCAGCAACAATGGACCCCTGCAACAAAATACCACCCCTGCAACCAGTGGTGTATTTAGGTATTGTGCTGTCCTAGGCAACACAAAAAGCGGATCCCCCCCCCCCTCAGGGAGAGAGCCCGACAGTGACCAACAACACCGCTGCCTCATCCCCCCCACCTAAGAGAGAGCTTTCCACTAACATCTAAAATGGTGACAGAGAGACACTCTCCTTCACAGATCTGGACATCCCCAAGAACGACAGTTGGGCTGTGCATACACCATCAAGCACCCTGTAGCCTCTCTCGGATCCCACCTGGTCCCCATGCCGCATATGCCCCTTCTTCCAAAAAATGCCGCCCTAGGCAAATGCCTTGTTTGCCTTGTGGTAAAATAGCCCCTGGCTGCAACAATAAATCTCCCAGCAACAAGCATCAATGGACTCTCCAGTTGCCAGTAAAAATAGTCCACTCCCTCAACAGCAGATCCCTTCCAGAAATAATTGACCCCAGCTACATAAGCCCCCCCCCCACAAGCAACAATAGACTTCCAGAAAAAAGAGCGCCACGCAAAAATAGATCTCACCCAGCAACAAAAGATCCCTCAGCAGCCAGCATCAATAGACCTCTCAGGACACCCCTGAACCCCATGCCATTACATACATTCAGGGCTGCGTTCCCACTGCAAAAAAGCCCTGCATACACATTCTAGGGCCAATTCAGACAGGAGCCAATTAACCTACCAGCATGTCTTTGGAGTGTAGGAGGAAACCGGAGTACCCGGAGGAAACCTAAGCAGGTTCTCTGAGGGAGAAGGGAAATGCGTCAGCTTTGCCCTGAGAGTCTCCCCTCTCGATTAGTATTCGCATGTATCTCCTATTCCAGTGCTTTGATATTGGATTTTATGTGTCTTGTATATTGTGAGATTTGTGAGTATATTTCCGAAATAAATAAATTCACCATTTGCTTACTGAGGTAATGCGCAAAGTTGGTGCGCTTTTTGTTTTTGTTCTTCACTACAGGAAACCTAAGCAGGCTCAGGGAAAACATGCAAACTCCATGCAGGTAGTGCTGTGGGATTTGAACGAATGACCCTAGTGCTTCTAGGCGGAAGTACTAACACTTATCTACTATGCCGCCTTTTTTTTATATTCTTGCTGACAATTCAGTCTGTCAGCAATGTAGAAACTGGATGGAGTAGAAAGCAGTAAATTGATGCCAGTCATTCATTTGTAGGTGAGAGATTCTCTTTAATACTTGCT